TCAAATCGATTTCAAAGATCGAAACATCATTTCTTTTTTCGAGGTCATAAAATTTTGATTAACTGCCATTCTAAAGTTGACATTTTTTCACGAATTTAAAAAAAAGTGTCCTACGACCAACAGGGTCCGAGAATTTTTTTTTTTTTTTCGAAAAACCGCCACAACCTCATTTATTAATATTAAGGGCAGAAATTTACACATGTTATAGTTGAATACTTGTACTTCAATATAGAAAATAGTCGGCAACGATTGGTCCTATTTTCTTCCATTAAACTACATTTTTATTGGCCCCATATATTGCTTGATCGGCTCGTCACGTTGATGCGCGCGGTGGGGAAGAGAAGAGGTGAATTATGGGACTTTTACAAAAACGCTCATTTTTAGAAAAACTCGATTTTTGCAAAAACTATAAAATATTTTTCAATTTTGAAAAATCATTTTATTTTGCTCACCAAGAGCTATCCTTTCACCAAGTTTCATAAAAAAATATTTATTTTTGAAAGAGATACAGCTATTTGACACAATTGCGCTTTTTAGCGGTTTTTTGCAATAACTAATTTATTTATTTATCGATCAAAACCGGTTTGAGCTTATTCGATCCGTATTAAAAATTCCTACAACTTTTGAAACATTTTTTTCTAAAATGTTTAGTTTTTTATAAATGAAAAAAACTGTTTTTTGCGAAGTTTGGACGCCATTTTGAAAATGAAGCCCAAGAATTCAGGTGGGGTAAAATAGTTCATTGAATTCTACGGAATTTTTCCTAATTTTTACATATCTTCAATTACTGAACTATTTTTTGGCAAAAAAATGAAGTATTTTCGACAATTTGATTGGACTACAAGGAGCCCAATGGGGCTTAAGTGTTGATTCCAGAACCCAAGGAATAACTCCTGAAGTTATGAAATATTCTTAGAATACACAACATTTCTTATAGATTCACATTAATTTTCCATTTATACTTGTAATTAAAGAAGGAGATACTAAAGATCGTATGCATATGACGAATCATAAAGCAGAAAAAAAACTGCTCCTATTATCACCTCTCGTTAAAAACGCTCATGAGTTACGAAATAAGTACCTAAGAAATTTGACAAACCTTTATGAAAATATAACTGGTGCGAAAAAATATGACAGTGAAATATAATTCTATTTTCAAATATAATGAAATAAGACCTCAAGAATTAGGTACATTGTTTGCAAGGATGCGATACAAAAAAATAAGTATATCTTTTGTACAAAATCACAGGCATCCTATTGTCACTTAATATTTTTCTTTTATGTTCCAATGAGGCTTTGTTAAGGTTCTATTAAAATACTTGCCCAGGGATTCGTTTCTAGTAAAGAAAATGTCATTATTATTTCAGTTCTGTAAATGCCTTGGATCGATTTGGTTCTTATACAGAGACGTCCGTGTCGAGAATTTTAGGGAGTTCTTTAGATCACTTAAATAATGGAATCCCTTAAAACTGTCTCACGTCAATCGTACACTTTCAACAATTATATAAAAATTAGAGAAACAGTTTTTGCAAGAATCTCAGAAGATGTAAGGTCAGTCATACAAAACAGACTGTTTAATATAACTTAAAAAAATATTTGAAGTACGATAGTCTTTCGACTTATGGTATGGCCTATGTAATGATCGTTATTATTAGTCACCGCCAATTACAAAATTACCTTTTACGCCGCTGCAAATATTTTGCTGCGCGCTTCAGTCAAGTGAAGCATTTGCAGTCATCACTGAAGATGTTGGCAGTGACGAACGGCGAAACGTTTGGAAGCATTGGATGCGACCAGTTACAGAGACCACTACGGAAGGTCTCAGAGGTAAACCATTGTCTGGGAAGATATTCCGTCCGCAGCGGTTTTGGAAACAACAAGAACAGAAATTGCCATCAGTGCAAACCCAGTGGTTCTGATAACGGGTCCGCCTTCACAGAGCCTAGCCCGAGGACAACAAGACCTGGTCAAAATTTCCTAGCTAAAGGTAAAGGAAGTGCAATCTATGTCTGTAACTAGCTACCCGAAAATCCATTGCACTTTAAATATCAACACGGGCCATAAAAGACTTAAAACCACTAAGCAACTACTAAATGTCCCGTTGATTCTTATATTAGGTATCACCAGTTAAACAAGGTTTTGCTTTCATAATGACTGCCAAATAACAGGTCACTCTTTCAAGTAGAATCATTAAATTAAAACATCAGAAATAGCTGGATTATTCGTATATTGCCCCACGTATGAAATATGCAGAAAATAATTAATTATATTCGAAACCGGTATATATCTGGTGGTTCTGCTGACGAATGATCTTAGCTATTTACTAGATATTATGGGTATAATTCAATGCTGGTCGAAGCATTAGTGACCAGAGTAGTTTCCCCCAATAGCATCAGTGTAAAAATAGAAAGCTGCTGATATTACTGTGCCCTTCGACATTTATAATAAACTAGAATAATTCCTGCTTTTTTTTGGAGCAAAAAATTATAAGAAATTAGCTGCCTACGCAGTTTTGTTTGGAAGTGAACAATTTGAGAACCCACCTTGCTGAAACTTTATTCACGCATAGTTAATCCTATAGAATTATTAAACTACATTTAATGCTGTAACAATAGTAGATATTTTCAAACGGCGGCGGCGGTTAAAAACTATTGTTTTCACTTTCTTGTAAACAGCAGGATTTTTTGTATCTGAAGGCCTTTCACTTCTTGGCCGTCTTCAATGGATATTTTACTTTATATTTCATCCTCACTTACTGCAATCTTACATTCGTGAATATAACACTATAGGCGCAGAAATTAAGGGATATAAAAAAATCCTAAAATTTTGAGTAATTTTCAGAGAACTGTAACTTGGAGGGAAATGGTCGTAGAGAGAATAAAAAAGGAAATTGAAGCTTCAGGTGTCTAATTTTCAGATCTGCAGTTTAAAATTTTTTAGCGCCAGTAGTTTTTGCGTAATCATAAGAAAATCAACGGAAAAAAAATTTGTAAATTTTTGCTTTTTTTAAAAAGGCCTATGGACCTCAAAAAATTTTTTTGTTAACTTCATCATAAAGCTCATTTAGATAATTTAATTCTCTTCAATTTGAGCGGTTCCGCAGCCATGTCCAATTATTTGTCACTGACAAAGCAAATAAATCATTTTTTACTTTGGAAATATGCTCTTACAGAAAATCCAAGCGGGATTTTCGAAACTGCAAAGCATTCTCTACAAGTCGTAATTACGAGTTTTTGATAAAAAAAAATTCAAAGTGAAAATGGTGGTTAGAAAAATGGTAAAAGTTGCATAATTAGGGATATTTGAATAACTTGGCGTAATTAAGTACATTTTTAACTTAAAAAAATGAATAAAAAGTGAAAAATTATTTATTACATTGAGTTTCAGCAAAACGAAAAATTTAAACTTTCAGGGCACTAGAAAAAAAAATCGCAACGTTTTGAAATTATCAGGGTTTCTTTAGGACACTGAGGTTGAAAAGTTACAGTCGATATCCTTAGTTTATTCATTATTTGCAAAATTATGCCGTTATTCAAATATCTCTAATTATCCAATTTTTTACCTTTTTTCTAAACAACATTTTCACTTTGAAAACATTTTTTTATCAAAAACCCATAATTATGATTTGTAGAGAATACTTTGCAGTTTTCAAAACCCTGCTTGGATTTTCTGAACAATCATTATTTCCCGAGTAATTGATTGCCTAAGTCAAAAACGATTGTTTTGCTTTGATCGACGATAACTCAGCGACAAACAATCGTACAAGGCTCCGGAATCGCTCAAATTGAAGATAATTAAATTATCTAAAAAGGCTTTATGATGAAATTACCAAAAAAAAAATTTTGAGGTCCATAGGCCTTTAAAAAAAACAAAAATTTACAAATTTTTTTTCCGTCGAATTTCTTATAATTACTCGAAAACTGCTGACCTAAAAAATTCTAAACTGCAGATCTGAAAACTAGACAGTTGAAGCTTCAATTTCCTTTTTTTTTTGTTCTCTCTACGACCATTTCCGTCCAAAATACAGCTCTTTGAAAATCACCCAAAATTTTGGGATTTTTTTAATAACCCTTAATTTACGTGTCTAGTGTATTAGGACTATTACGTGTCTCTTAAAAATTTAATGACATTGCAATATTCTAATTTTCTAAAACTCATTTTTAGCACAAAATATAAAATCACAAATAACATTCTTCCGAGTTCACCGTCACTCTGCTAAACTTTTAAACGTACTTACCGCTCCACTACCTCCGGCGACAGTCTCGTAGCAGCCCCAGGACTCGTTGCCGAATGTGATGTTGTTCATGCACCCCTGAGAGGCCGCGCACACCCGGAAGGCCTTGAGCACGACGTCCACGACGCGCTGCGACGTCAAGACGTTCCCACCGACCACTGCAGCGTTGTCGCTAGGGTCCAGGATTGATCCCTTGGGAATATTAATTTGCACTGGAGCCAGACAACCCTGAGAAAAGTAAATAAAGGTAAATGAGAGGTGCACCAAACGCAGACGGAATAATTAATTTCACTGTTATAATAAAAATAATTCCTTTGTCTTTATGCGCCAGTTAAAGGCTGGTGCAAGAAAAAGGTAAAATTTCCGTACGCTCAAGACGCAAAGATGTATCAAGATCAAAAATGAATAAATAAAAACTATTTCTAAAGTATCTCTCTCCAACAGTTGCCGTAAAATATTTCGTTTTCAGATAACGTGAAATATAATATCCTTTTATACCTGATGAGTTACTTAAATTATTAAATTTAAAATTAAAGAGTAAAATGTGCGCAGGTCCTGATAATGTCCCTCTGCCCATAATTAAAAACCACTTACAGCTGATTTTAGAACCCTCAACATATTTAGTTAATCTCTCATTTTCGGAGGGGAAGTTTCCATCTTGTCTTAAAACTGGAAAAGTCATTCCAATCTTAAAGAAGAATGATTCTAGTTTTCTAGCCAACTACAGGCTATCACTATTACTAGTGGGTTTTCTAAAATTTTTGAGCNACCCTCAACATATTTAGTTAATCTCTCATTTTCGGAGGGGAAGTTTCCATCTTGTCTTAAAACTGGAAAAGTCATTCCAATCTTAAAGAAGAATGATTCTAGTTTTCTAGCCAACTACAGGCTATCACTATTACTAGTGGGTTTTCTAAAATTTTTGAGCATGCTTTTTTAGACAGATTGTTGAATTTTACCAATAAATTTAATATCTTTATAGATCATCAACATGGCTTCCGCTCTAAAAAATCTACTTCTACTGCTATTCACAGTTTTATAGATCAGCTGATTGAGTTCATAGATGATGGTGTTGGGATCTTCTGTGATCTCAGCAGGACATTCGACTATGTTGATCATGATATTTTAATCCGCAAATTATATAATTACGGTATTAGAGGCAGACCTCTGGACTGGGTAACAACTTTTCTGAAGAAGCGAATTCAATATGTGAGCGTAAACCATTTGAGTAATCATGTTATGCAAACATATAGCTCGGAGCTAGCTGAAATAAGCATGGGCGTTCCACAGGGCTCAGGTTTGGGCCCAGTTCTTTTTCTGTTATATATTAACAACATTGTTGAATTGTCCGGTGAGGCATATTTTGCTCTTTATGCGGACGATACATCTCATGTAATATCTGATAAATGTGAAAATAACCTTAAACGCAAATGTGAAGCCGTTATCTCGGACTTAATTGATTGGTTTATATTTTAATTCGGATAAAACTCAGATTCTTAGGTTCCACACCTCGCAGAAACCACTTCGTGATCTTGAGTTTTGTGTTAGTGATACTAAGTTTCATATTCACGATACTTGCTGTAAGTTTCTGGGTTTATATCTGGACTCGCAATTAAACTGGAAGAGACATTGTGAATTTTTAACATCTAAACTCGCATCTGTTTATTACCTTTTTTATAACATTAGAAATGTAATTGGAACTGACCATTTACTAAAACTGTATTATGCGCAAGTTGAAAGCCGACTAAGGTATGGAATTACCTTTTGGGGTGACTCCACTCTCTCACGTGATGTTTTTGTGGCGCAAAAGAGGATATTGCGATGCATTGCCGATG